TTTGGTTATGAAAATTTACAAATACAAAATTTTCACCTGGAAAAACTCATTTAAGGTTCACAATCAGACCTTAAAACCACTGTTGTACCTAACAGTGCATTAAAATTTCTTACAGTTTCAGTATTTTTGAAGGTTAACAGTGACTTATTATTCTGGAACATCCTTTCATTTTTTAACATAAAGCATATTTAACAACCGGAGTAAATCTGAAATATTTTTATTGTGCAAAACAGTAAAAACAGAACATTACATACACACTTAAAACAGATGGTTCTTCAAGGGTTTTTCAGTAAAGAAAATGGTTCTGTGTAGATACACGAACTGATGATTAAGGGGTTCTTTGCATCATGAAAGGGTGCTTTAGTTTTTAATTCGGTAAAGAAATGGTTCTATATAGATCCATGAACACTCAAAGAACCCTTTGCACGATTAATGGGTTCTCTGCATCGTGAAAGCGTTCTTTAGATTGATGAAGAGTGTGCTGTAGATGTTTCTATATAGAACCTTCTCGAAAAGTGTTCTACATAGCACCAAAAAGGGTTTTTCTATTATTATAAGCTTGATGTCGTAACAATAGAAAAATCCTTTTTGGTGCTATATAGAACCCTTTTCAAAAAGGTTCAGTACAGAACCATACAGAGCGTTCTCCATCCATTTGAAGAACCCCTTTCACGATGCAAAGAACCTGTTAATCATGCAAAAGGTTCTCTGAGTCTTCGTGGTTCTATATAGAACCATTTTCTTTACTAAAGAACCCTTAAATAACCATCATTTCTAAGAGTGTATATAAACTTACGTCTATATTTCTTTTTGTTAAAATTTGTGAAAGTAACTGCTGCACTATTTAAGGAGGAACAGGTAATTAAATTAAGAAGCAACTTCAGCATTGTCAGTCATTGGTGTCATACGATTCCCACCCACTCGCTCCCCCGACTGTCAGATGCTGCTGGAACTGTAATGGGAAAACATTACAGTCATTCACGCTTCAGCATCAGCTGTTCCAAGGCTTGTCCGAGAACGCCTACATCGTCCGATGCAGCTGAGTCAGACGGCTTTTTAGGCGGTACGAGAGGAAACAGAAGTGAAGCAATCACTCTGGCAGCTGTTCAGCTAAGACTAACCTCAAAAAACTGGCCGAAGCTTTAGGTCCGTTACCTCGAAAACAGGGTGAATTACTTTAGATGCAATGGACTAGACAGCGAGAGGCGGTCAAGGGATTGCTGCGTTTTCATGTTCATTTAAAACGTGACTTAGCCACTCAGCTGAACAGGCAAACATATCTGCGGCTTCAAAGTCATTTAAGGAAATGCTTAATATTCCAATGCTTAATGCAATGCTTAACATTTCAAAAGCATATTTAATTTTCAAATCACTGATAAAATCTGCGCCTCACAGCAAGAAGGACCTGGGTTTGATTCCCGGCCGGGTGACCAGGGTCCTTTCTGTGTGGAGTCTGCATGTTCTCTCGTGTCTGTGTGGGTTTCCTCCGGGTGCTCTAGTTTCCTCCCACATTACAAAGACATGCAGTCAGGCCAACTGGACACGCTAAATTGCCCCTAGGTGTAACATAAATAGTCTATAGTGTTTCGCTCAAGAACGCATAAAACGTTTTTTTTCAGCTTGTTCTGGTTACTGTGCATATCATCACTGTCCAAAAAATAATTCTCCTACTTTGACCATTTTTAATTTTCTACTTTATTTAAACATGGCAGGTCTTCTTTACATTTTATGTAAATTTCATCATAAACGGACCTTTAGAAATGCTCCAAAAGCATTTGGAACTAAACATCTTTACATTAACTTACATCAAAGCTAAGAACCTTATTGCCTTCTCCTGTAAAGAGTATTTTTCTCTGGACAGCAACAATATCTATAGTGAGAAGGAGCTTCTCCGACCTGCAGCTTTACCAGCAAGCCAAATGGCTCATCTTATTGAAGGGCGGGTCTTTCTCCATAAACAGACGCCATATTGAACGTATACAAGCGCCATATACAAGCGTTCCTATTCATTTTCCAACCAGTGAACTGTCTCTTCCTTTCTAACATCTTTGGTGGTTTGCTTTGTTTGTATATTGCATTACCTGTGCGTATTTGTAGCACACATAACAGTTATGATTAAACTCAAACCTGATGAAGCACTTCAACCAGATGAACCACTATACTGGCCACTACTACATCAAAGGGAGGAAAAAAAAAAAGAATGAATGTGATCCGATGCTGTAACAAATCTACCCTGAAACAGCACTCATTCACACTAAGTGGTGTGATGTTGTGAGCTGTGTGGTTCTTCCTGTGGGGTCGTAGAGCGATTGAGTAGTTTCAGCATCATAAGCCCTGTTTGGATTGCATTAGTTTATCATTGGGGAAGAACTCCCACTTCCCAAAAGCAATAAAATTACTACAGGAGGAGCAAGTTTTGGGCTGTAACTTCTATAATCCTTGTTTACGTCACACATGGTCACATGATGATGCTCTAATCACACGAAAAGTTGATATTGTACGCATATAAAAAGCTTTGATGACTCTGTGCAGCTGTACACTCAAGGGGTCTTTAGTAAAGACAATGGTTCTATATAGTACCATGAAGACTCAAAGAACCATTTGCACAATTAAACGGTTCTTTGCAAGGTGAAACTGTTCTTCAGATTGATGGCGAATGTGCTGTATATGGTTCTATATAGAAGCTTTTTGAAAAGGGTTCTTCTACTATTAAAAGCCTGGCATCATAACAATAGCAGAGTCCTTTTTGGTGCAATATAGAACCATATACAACACATTCTCTGTCAATCTGAAGAACCAGTTCACCATGCAAATGGCTCTTTGAGCGTTCATGGTTCTACATAGAAACATTAACTTTAGTTATGAGCCCTTGAAGAATAACCTTTTTTAGCAGGGTGTGCGAATATAAAGTGCTTTATACATACATGAGACATTATAATTGATGAAGTTCTACCACAAAGATCAGGTAAACAGTTCAAAGACTTCCGAAGTTTCACGATTGTGAATATGTTTAATGTGGATACGCGCACTACGAGACTAAATACGGCGAACAGAAGCAGTAAAAAAGAAAAAAAAACCTTTCCAACGCGATGCAACGTCTGCCTGGAAAATCCGCCAAAATCACACAGATCTGTGATCTCTCCGGACGGAACTACATTTTTCAGACGAATGCTAAGTTTGGTGACAAACAGCAGGTAATTCTTGGCCTGTAATTTTCTCAGAGAAAGAGGGAGAAAAACACTGACACGGCTGATCCGGATGGAAATAAAATCACAGAGAAGCACCTGCAAAAGAGGAAATTACCCCAAGACCCCCATGTAAATTTAATCCTGTCCGAGTAGGGCTACTTTCATATGACTGTCCTAAGTGAAGCACTACAGCTCATTTTAAAGCTTAGCAGTTTTTCAAAAACAAATATACTTAACTGCTGATACTCAAAGGGGAACTTCACATATTTTTAAAAAAATTCTGCATAATTAAATGGTTAAGATGTAAACAAAGTCATTCAGAGTAGTTGGGTGTGAAATGCTCCGTTCTAGAACAACTTACATAGTCACAGGTGATAGGAACCAGGCGTCTGAAGAGTTTAATGCCTCTAAAAGCTGCCGCACAGAAAGATATTATATGAAATGCTTATGCATATGCTGACTGATGTCTGACACATCGTTTTATGAGTTTTGTGATAAAGTTTTGGCCTATAATTTTAATCCATTCATGGCGGAGGGGTACATACAGGGCATTGTAAGGCAAAACAGTCCCCCACCAACACAACTCATTATTTTATGATCATCAACATTACATATAAAACGTCGGAAGACATGTGGTGGTTTTGGAAACTTTCAGTCAGAACTGTTCACAGTGGTGGTGATAGGAACCAGACGTCCACCTCTAAAAGCTCCCTCACAGAAAGAGGCAAAACACTCCCTAAAGACAATATATCTTCACCAGATGTATTACTATATTATATATACACTCTGAAGACAAATGTAGGTTCACTGGTAAATAAAATGGCTGGATTTGCGTTGGAGACATGGTGACCCCTGGTTCCCATCACCCCCACTGCAAAGAAATCTGAGTCTGTAGCTAAAGTTTCTCTACAATGAACCATTTAACATCAGTCCACTCAGAATGCCTTTGTTTACACCTCATGAACTGAATTATTTAGAAATTTTGAAAAACTGGTGGAATTGCCCTTTACGGTTTCAGTATCGATATCGGTAGGAAAACGTAATATCGTGCCATCTCTTCACGCAGTTGTTCCCTGCAGAAGAGGATAAGAGAAAATGCGTACGTCACTTATCGCGACGATAAAAGCTCAGCAGTGATGCATTCGTGATTTCTGTCTCTTGTTATTCGTGTTGCAAAAAAAATAAGCCATTTAATTGCCTTGTATGGAGACGGATTCCTGCTTAGGACCCCCACCCCTCCCCTCTCCTCTCCTCTCCGCGCGCAGACCTGCGCGTGCAACCCCTCAAATCGGCGCCTTTACAACCGCTCGTGCACGCCTGGTCAACAAACCCTGCACAGCTTTGCGTTTGACCGTTACAGCGGGCGAAACACAACAAACCCCACACACAAGCACGAACACAACGACGAGGCTGAAGTTGGCTTCCTATTCGAATTTGCCCGTTCCACCTTAAATGGTGCAGAACGTAACTGCTGCACCATTTAAGGTGGAACGGGCAAATTCGAACAAGAAGCTGGCGAATAAGCTGACTTCAGCCTCGTAACACAGTGTGAATATATGAAGGCTACAGCTGTTATGGTGCTGCGAAGTCTCCGTAGCTGTGTCCGTTTAGGAGGCTGGACCTGGGCGGGTTAAATAAATAAACAAAAACAAAACTAATCCCCGCTCCTTTGTGTAACGTTAATGTGCGGAGCGTTAGCATTAGCATTCGTGTTAGCTCTCCGGAATGCCGACGTGGTTACACTGAGCCGCAGAGCCGCGGCCTGCCCGGAGGTGAGTAGACGGGGAGAAAATGTGACTGGGTCGGCGGTACCTGGTCCTCCATGGTGCTCGGGTCCCCGGCGGCGCTCCGTCCGTTTACCGGCGAGTTTGTTTCGGACCTGCCCCGCCGCTCATTGTGTGGCAGTTTCGGCCGAGAAGCGGAAACCCGGCGCCGCCCCTCCCCTTCCAGAGCGGCTGGCACGAAACCGAGACGGACAGCGCGCTCGGCCAATCAGAGAGCAGCGAAAGGGAAACCCGTCTGCGGCTCGACCAGTCGCATTGGCGGAGAGGTGGAGGGGCGGGACTTCCCACGGGTGGCGATTACTGTGGGATCAGAGACACAGGCCTAAATGTAGATCTAGTTTTGTAGTTCGTTTAACTTTTGCTGTATTTGTATTGTTGCATGTTTATATCGTTTAATATCTATTCTGTAGTGATACTGAATAGGTAATTATGAGTAAGGAAATAAGAATTATGTTTTATAACAGCTCAAACTGCAGAGCACTTCACATTTGATTTTTGATGTTATACAATATACACACTGTCGAATTGTTTGACATATTATCTGCCTTGAAATTGAATATATAACTAGATAATGTACATTTTTTATTACAGCTTCCATTCTTTTAGGTAGAATTGTTTTCAGTTTTTTTTTTTTATCTGTAGGGATAGTTTTCCACGCCTCTAAAGTTTAGTCTTAGAAGTTGGTTGCATTTTTGCTAATGATATGCAAATTTTAGTGCAGTAATTCTATATTTGCTGACTTTATTATATTTTAGGAAAAAAATAAACAAAAATATAAAATAACATTTGCACATGCCACATTATATGTTTAATTTTTATCGAACATTTTAAATTCTGAAAATAAACAGTAGAAGTATCGTCTCTGTATGTGTTAGCATTATCTTCCTGATTAAATCGACAAAACATGTGATTTTACCGGGGGTCAAAACTTTTGTTTACGACTGTATATGGGGAAACAAGAGTTTTCAAAAGAGTTTTCAGACTCTTTTGTTTTTGTTATTTAATATACTTTAAGTGCATATTTCCACTTTAGATTTGCACACATTTTTAATATCAATTATATATATATATGTATATATATATATATATATATATATATGTGTGTGTGTGTGTATGTGTGTGTATACATATATATATATATATATAAAATAAACATTTATTTTAAAAGAGAAAAATGAAATGTGTTGTTCAGCATTAGCTGTAGGCTGCTATTGTTATTAAAATGCGTGTTGTTAGATGGGTGTAAAATTAGTGGAGCCACAGTGGGCTTCAGGCTGTAACAGATGGAGAACTGGACCCAAACTCTGACCCCTGGCACCGAAATCAAAGCTGTCTGAATGCACACAATGCATAGAGTCTCACAGGCGAGAAATCCGCTTAGGCCCTCGGCCTGCTCCTCGCAGACTGCCAGGACTAAAGCAGCAGGTTCGAGGAGGACATCTCTGAGGTTTGTGTCACTGCTGGAGTCTGTATGAACTGTGTTTATGTGTGTGCATTCTCCGTGTGAAAGATGGCGTGTGATTAGCAGGCCTCCTCTGTGTGACAGGAGGAGAGGGAGGATTGTTTTGGCGCTCTCTCTCTCTCTCTCTCTCTCTCTCTCTCACCCTCTCTCCCCCCACCTCATGCTGGTTTGATTCCCACTGCTGTGTTTAATAACTGTCTTATTCCCAGCATGCCTGTCACATGCCTGGCATTAAGTACAGTTATACATCTGCCTATACTGATTAAGGATGTAAGAATTTCAGTACAATATCAAAAATTCTGAAAAATGAGCATTAAAAGTACTGAAATCTCTATCACAGATACACCCTCACCTTCTTCTGAGTGCCTCTCATTCAACAACTGCCAGTGATCAAAACTTCACATCTGGGTGCAGCCTATCAGAGTGAACCGGGTGGAGAAGGGGCGGGGCTTATGCCATGAACACACACCCACTCAAATGTCTGGCTTATTTTTTTTCTGAAGTCACTCGTAAATCCTGGGGTTGTAATTGTTGGGGTTTATTATGTTAAGAGGACAGTTCCAGGTGCAGAAGTCAAGAGAGGCCACGATAGTTATAGTTATAATTTTCTGGATCGTTTTTGAGATAACAAGTTAATTATCTTGTTATCTCAAGATAACAAAATTGTTATTTTGAAATAACGAGTAACTTATCTCGTTATCTCAAGATAACAATCCAGAAAACGATAGCAACAGCTCATGGCCTCTCTGGATCTCCGTAGTAATGCTCTTATATCATTCTTTGAGTGTTGTTTTGAAACAAAAGGGTTAAATTCTTGAAATGCCCAGCAGAAAATTATGTCAGGACTCTTTACTGAAAGAATCACTATGAAGATGCTACACAGTATAATGTATGTTAATGTCTGTTACAAAACTCAGATAAAAACATGGACGCATTTAAGAGCTTTAAATGTCTTAGTTTATTCTAGAATGGCCCAAGGAAAATGTGCACTGCCATTAGCTTAATGCTAACATACTACTAGAGTCCCATAAGGGTGCTAACATAAATTAAAACATTAAAAAATAATTTTCCCCTTTTTGTTTGGTGATGTCACTAAAAATCAGAACACATTTTAGAGGCGGGGCAAAAGTCACTACATTTTAATGGAAAATGATAGAAAAACAGGAATTGTTATCTTTTAAAGGATCTGACTTGAGGAATAATGCTCTATACGATCAGAGACAATAAAAGAAAGTAAACAATGGCCGAATATCAGCCTTATTCATTAAGACCAGTTTGTAACTCAGGTCTAATAGATGAAATAAGAATGCAGGAAAGATCAGAATTAAAGAAAAAAAAAGCTCAAAATAATAATGTAATCACATTAGGCAGAAACTTGCCTAAGCATGGAAGTAACTATCCAACTGCTATTCCACAGATCCACACTGGGTGGTGCTGTTACTGTTTAAAGAGGGATTCCAACATTTTTTCAAAATTTCTGCATAATTAAATAGGTAGGATGTAAACAGAGTCATTCGGAGTGGCTTGACGTGAAATGCTCCATTCCAGAGAAACTTTAAAACACATCTAGGACGGCTAGGTTACATGTAGAGCAATATACCCTGCTGAAAAGGGACTATTAGAAACTAGGATTAAAACTGTTTTGCTTTCTAATAGGAATTGACTTAATGGTTCCCAATAGAGGCCACTAGTTTCCTGTAGAACACCTTTACAAACACATTACAAAACTATCAGGAACCAACAAACATTTAATGGTTTCTATGGGTGTTTTCAGCAGGCTAAGGCAAAATAGCTACCCAAATTAGCTACCCACTATTTTAACATCATCAACATTACATATAGCATCAATAAAAAGACAAGTGTAAAATGGTTACATTTTGGAAGGTAGACAAAACGGCGAGATATCATGACTGACCCCTGGTTCCAATCACCACTGTAAAGAATTTCCCTTTAACTTTACATCACTGAATGTAGATCCTTCCAATCTGTCTGTGATTACATATCGCTGTTGTCGGAAGAAAACCTCGTATCTCCATTTTTTACGTTTTCCAGTTTTTGACATAATTTGAAAATACCTGTCGCCCTTTACATTGTGTGTAAATTTCATGATGAATGGACCAACAGAAACAACCTAAAATGACTTGGAAAAAAGTCTGGTTCCATTGACTTACATTTAAAGTAAACTAGGTTTTTTCCTTCTCCTGTAAAGTTACCATTTTGGAGATACGAGGTTTTCTTCCAACAACAGGGATATCTAGTGTTCTATGGGGTACATAAAATGCATCCATTTGTATAAACAAAGTATTTAAATCAGCCACAACAGTAAGTCATCAATAGTGTCAATGCAAAGATTGTTATATTGGCAAACCTTGGGATTAAAACCCTGCAGTTCCAAAAAACTGTAAATGTGAAACTATTTGAATGGCTCAGCTCAATCAGAGTGGTTTGATGTGAAATGCACTGTTGCTGAGAAACTTGCTAAACCAGAATTGTTCGCATTGGTAGTGATAGGAACCAGATGTCTGAAGATGCTTCTGATGCCTCTGAAAGCTTCCTCACAGAAAGTGGTTGCATGAAGTGATCATGAATACACTGCCTGATGCCTGAGACATTGTATTATGATAGTCTTGACATAACCTTTTCTTTTGACTTTCTTTCAGAATTAGCACTATTTTACCATCAACATTGCACCTAAAACTGTGTAGGTTCACTGATTATTTTGGGTGCTAAATAAAATGGCTATATTTGTGCTGTAGACATTGTGACCCCTAGTTTCTATCACTGTGACAGACTTTGGGCTTCATTCTCCAGTATCCTAAATTTGTTCTTAGCTTGAAAGTTTTTTCTTCTTCTTGAGAAAAGTCCTAAGAAAGTCTACGTCAGAGCCGTGACATGTTCTTAAACTGCAGAATTATTCACACCTTTGTGCTCTTCAGTGTGTGTAGATTCGGTTTTTTGGGTCTAGAGAACAAATCCCATATAAGAAAACATTGATGGATGTCAGAATCTTCGTTAAAACTGCGCAAGAGAGTTTTAAGAAGAAAGTTCATCTTAAGAACGGTCGGTAAATGAGGGCCCTTGACCACTGAATTAGGCAGAAATCTTAAAAAATGTGCAAGTCCCCTTTAATGTTATCTGTTAAAATACAGAATAGTATTACATGTACATTCAAAAGTGGAGTAACAGTGCAAATCCTTATTAGCACACGTATGGTCAGACTATACAGGTCAACCATTCACAGTAATGAGTGTTATAGACATATACAGACACAGACACACATGATCTTTCTATTTAGTCCTAAAACTGATATTAGTGAGTATATTGTAAACATCAAGTGTTCCAGGATTCAAAAGTAGCATCAATATCAAACAGTTGCAGCAAAAAAACCCATCATAGTCATTCAGGGGTCTGTCTCACGAGGCAGGATTTCTTGCTTAGCCAGCTAACCTTAGTCTGACCTAGTCTGTCTAATAGCAGTGGCTAACCTGCACCAAGGCAGGTGCATTTCAAAATCATTTCTTGGACCAACCAGAGTTAGCTTCTGACCAGTCAGGGCCTAACATGGTATTAAGCCATTATCACCCCAATAAGCGCCAACACGATGGCCATGGAAACAGCATTGCTTTTTACTTTATACATATTTAAATAGATTTTTTTTCTTCTTTGAAATAACCCACTCGACCACTCCATGTTTCTCAGCACTGGCTGTTCGTCACAAACATCATGCTTTCGTGTTCATGCGCACGAGGATTAATCACAGCTTGAGTATCCTAAATAAACCTGGCTTAGGAGAGAAAGTTGTTAACTGCTGTTAAAAAGTAATGAATTAACCGCAGTTACATTTGTTAAGTTTCGTAAAGTTTAAACTTATTCAGGAACGTCTTCTAAGTTCCAATTGCTTCGAGAGACAGGCCCCATGATTGGCGGCTATTTCATGAAGCAGAATTTCAGAGTAAGCCAGATAACTGAAGCCCAACTTCACACCTGTATAATAGGAGAAATGGTAAGGACCATTTCTGTTGGGTGATCCTCACTTTAGCCTTAAAGGGCCCATGTTTCACACATATTTTGTGTTTTATTTTATTTGAGATCCACTTCTAACACTTGTGTGGCTTTATGCACTAAAAGTCATAACGTATTTTAACACAACCATTTTCCAACCTCTTTTTACCCCTCAGAAGAACCAGCCTGTTTTTGTTACTGTGCCTTTAAGACTGATATATGTAAATGAGCTCTGTTCCAATTGGCTGGCCTGTATTGTGCCTCTTATGTAAAAAGCACTCCTTATATCTCAAAATGGGCTGTTTCTGCAATGGACTGGAAACTTTAACAGTGTTACATATTACCTGATATTACGTCACACTCTTATTTGAAAAAGCGAAGGAAATTTGATTTTCCATAATAAGGGCCCTTTAAATGATCCAGCTTACTGAGAAATCCTGCTTAACCGTAAACCCACTGCTGTGCACATTTTAGTGATTTCACACCTGATCCAACTAAACAGCTCATCACTAAGCCCTTCCTGAGGTTAAGCCATCTATCCCTTCATCCTCTTCTTCACTAGCATCGTTTCTGGGTCTTGGCGTTGCCCTTGAGGACGATGTAAGGCAGGCCCAGGGCCCAGTTGTCCCGAGGCCAGTACTGCAGGTCAGGAAGTGAGTAAGGAATCTCCTGGCTGGCGTCCAGGTAAGCGATCAGAGTGCTGCCGTAGGCCGTGGCAACCACAATCAGGATGTGCCTGCATAAAGGAAAGAGACAAACAGGTCAGGGAAGGGGACATGAGCATCACTATTGATGCTACGATCATTAAACAGGGCTAGAGTGCCATTTAAAGGGGAATTCCACCGATTTTTAAAAATTTCTGCATTGTTGAGATGTGAAGTCATACTGAAGAGGAAGGGACCTGGATTTCTATAAAGCTGCTTTGTTACAACGTCTGCTGTAAAAGCTACAAAGACATTTGAACTGAATTTGTGCTATGGGGGTCCTGACCACTGATGAACAGGATAAAGCGGCAGAAGCAGTCTGTAATTGTAGAATGACAAAGTGCATCTATATGGTAAGTGGAGCTGATAAAATGGGCACTGACTGTAGGCACAAGGTTGTGGTTCTTAATAAAGAGGCCACTGAGTGTATCTCTGTCATGATCTAGTGTGGGTGGCAGGTCAGGAGTGGCTCGTCATTAACTTTATGTGCTCACAGTGACAGATATGAGTCACTTACATGCATGAATGTTAACAGTAAATGCTAAATGATAAGATCTGAGCAATAAGGCTTGTAATCTGAATGTAGCCAGAGAGTGCAAAAGACTGTTTATGCAAGAAGAACAAGTTTATATATATGTTCAAACTGTATATAAATCTGTTCTACTTGCATGTAATAAAATAATAATAATAAATAAATAAATAAATACATTTTGGGACGTTTCCTATATTATATACATACATACATACATACATACATACATACACACACACACACACACACACAGAAACATGCCAAAATCACTTTATTGATTACATTTATTTATTTATTTATATTATATATGTATTTATTGTTTATCGTTAATAATAATAATAATAATAATAATAATAATAATAATATTGTTATAAATTGATTAATTAATAAAATGTGCAGAAGTGTTAGATAGGTAGTCAGATAGAAAAAGTGCAGAATATGTCCCGTAGATAATTAACAACGCATGTTATGTGACCAGGACCACCCAAACATTTGCATACAACTGTACAAACTTTTAGGCTTGTTGTACAGCTAGAGTGTCTGATTACACAACAAGGACTGATATTGAAACCTCTATTAGATAAGACCAAAAGACAAGCCTCACTGAACCATGTTTTAAGCTTATCAAACGATGCCATCTGTATCTCAACAGAGGCTCTTACCAGATGCCGTGCAGATAGCAGAAGTTGAGCTTTTGCCAGAAGCTGCAGCCGAAGCGGTCACTGATCCAGCAGGAAATGGCCAGCACCCACAGGCCAATGGAGGCCCAAGCCAGACGCAGCACGCGCTGGTCTGTGCAGCTGTGAAAGGAGGGACCAGACAAAGTCATGTATAATCCCAGAAACTCACAATATTTCACACCAGAAACTTCAGCCCTCCAAAACACCTTAAAGAATACTGGAACTGCTGACAGACAGGACTGACAGTTAAAGGGCCCATATCCTACATTTCTCTTGTATTTTTCCCCATCAGGTCCACTTATAACATTTGTGTGGGTTCATGTACCAAAAACAGTCATCATTCATTTTTCATGACCAAGAATTAAAACAAATTGTTTATGTTGCTGTGACATCAAGACTGATGTGTAAACCCTGTTCTGTGCCTCATTCAGAAAGCAGTCCACGCTGAAACACTCCTTATAATGTCAGTGTGAAGGGGTGGGGCTAAACTGCTGTTGGCTGAATAGTTTAATATATGCAGAAGACATCACAAAAACGAGGGATTCAAAACAGGCCACAGTTGCAGCTCAGTTTTCACATATAGACTGTGTGGTTGGGAAGAGAACAGTATATTTTGAAATTTCAATAGCTCTATCCACACCTAGTACCATAATACCCCAAACTCCTATTTAAAAAAAGAACGAACTATGATACACTGCAAAAAATGGTCTCGTCAAGTGAAATGATCTTAAATCTAGTCGATATATCTAACATTTTACGTTTTGAGATGGTTGAGCTCTTTTTATAAGATTATCTAGCTTATTTCTAGACAATTTTCAATTGTTTTAAGTAATTTTATTTATTTCTGTGTGTGTATGTATATGTAATTTTACATAATTAAAAAACGTCTAGAAATAAGGTAAATAGTCTTAAATCAAGCTAACAACAATCTCAACAGGAGAAATATTAGACTGATTGAATGTATTTAGATAATTTTACTTGACAAGATACCATTTTTGCAGTGTACGGGCCTGTTAATTCCAATGCAAATTAAAATGCCACTATAAATGAAATTTTATTGATGTTTGCATTTACTGATTTTCACTGTGGAAGTTAAAAGCTTTCCTTTTCCTATGAAAGCTTAAAAAAATTCAGTAATATGGTTGTGGCATTTGTGTTACTCATGTTTATCAGTCATATTTGTGCCCGGTACGCAAAATATAATTTGTCAATTCATAATAATGCTACTAAGTGGCACCACTACATTTCTTTTACTGTAAGCAAAAAATTGTCAATGTTCGAGCTAACTCAGATAGCCAGATGTCATATATCAGTCTGTTGACTTGATAAAGTCAGTACCCTGCTGACTACATGGCAATGTTGGTCCACTCTTAGCTAGACAGCTCATTTCAAAAGCAGAGCTCTGTTTAGGGTCATTTAGTGTTGATGATAAATTTAGAGCAGCTGATATACCCTCAAATTCAGTCTCTCAGTAATGTAACACAGAACTTCAGATTAAACTGAGTTTTTAAACAGAAGGAAAATCCTCTGAGCAGGATAATAACGCTACTGAAAAGAATCTTCGAAAGGAAATATTCCTAAAAGGAGAAAAATCTGAGAAATAAATATATTTTGTACGCAAGTACATGTGTGTTCAGTTATGGGATAACTTTATTATAATAATTAATTATAGGAATGAAGGGAAGTCAGTTGGACTGTGAAAATGTGAAAAAAAAAAATATGAAAAGTGGCCATTTCTCTAATACTCTACACAAAACACTAGTGGACCGACCGTAAAACACTAAGCAAAAAGCATGTGGGCCGCCAGCGCCGTCTTCAGTGGGCCAACAGTGGCCTGCCATCCTTAGTAACAGCAGCAATCTAAAAGTGAACAGGTGAGAGGTGCTCTGTACCTCTTTAGCTCCAAATACAGAGAGTAGAGGATGTGCAGGGCGAAGCAGTTGAGGGCGTAGGCGTTGGCTGTGGGTTTGACAAACGAGGACAGCGTGGTTACAACCGTAATGACCAGCACCATGCGAGAGAAAGAGCTCCTACAGGGGACAAAGAAAGAATGAATTCACATAAGCTGAACAAAGAAAGCTGTGCTGCACATTTTACATCAAATCAACTCCAATCTATGGTTTTCCTGCCCTAAAGGGTTTAGCTTACAGCTAATAGCACGGCAGATGACAAACCATAAACCAGCTGACACATAAATAAATAACTAAGCCGAAGATCATATTTACACAGTTTTCCCCCTTATCCCAAGTGTAGTCAGTCAGCCAAGATATGTTTGCTGTAGTAAGTATGAGGCTAATGTGTCTAGCAAGAAACGAAGGCTTAAAACCCCAGTTAGCATGGTGCTAGTTGCACAACCTACATCAACACCAACTTTAAGACATGCTGAGTTGTTGAGTAAAGTCTAATAAACTTCAGTATGTGGTCTCTGACACTGTAGAACACACCGTAATCTATAAAAATGAACTAAAGTAAAGAAAATTCAGGCTTAACTTAATGTTTTTAGCTATGCTACTATGCTATGCTATGTTAGTGCCATTGTTGTAGATCACAGTTTGTCATACAGTGTCAGATACCAAAAGCATGTAAATTAGCTGAATTAGGAATGCAGTTAGCACACTGCTAACAGGATTTTTATTACTTGTTAGCTATTAGTCTTGTAGCTGCAGTGCAAAACTAAGGAAACTGTACAAAAACCATTACTTTAATCGCTTCATGTCACTAATTGTTGAGTGCTCATACAATTCTCCATTAAGAAAAATACTAAACTGTAGCTCTCCAGCATAAAACTTATATTTGTAGTGTGATGAAAATGGACCACAATGTTCTGAAACATCTCATACACTGTACAACAGACAACATTAGCTGCATTTACAGTTACGGAAAAAGCCGACAAACAGTCAACATATGTTTGTTCACTCATTTCTAGACAAGAAAAGGTCAGATCTACATACAGATCTATGTCGCTGTTGTCGGAACAAAACCTTGTATCTCCATTTGTCATTTTTCAGTTTTTGACATAATTTGAAAATGTCTGTTGCCTGCATATTGGGTATAAATTTCATGATGAATGGACCAAAAGAAACAGCCCAAACTTACTTGGAAAAAAGTCTGGTTCCATTAACTTACATTTAAAGCTAAGAAGGTTTTTTCCTTCTCCTGTAAAGTTACCATTTTGGACATATGAGGTTTTGTTCCGACAGCAGTGGTATACTACGTATGAGTATCAAATTCAATAACATTTACAGTACAGAATTAATACAATCAAAAAATTGTCATTCAATATCAAATTTCAGTATATAAGTAATCAGTGTTAGCGTCACTGAGCCAATAGGCATGCTTGTTCCAAATTCCAGACTGCTGATTGGCTGTCTAAACAGTCTATTTGTGTTAGTACTGTGCTTTTTGATATACTACAGTCTGTAGCAATTAGTAAATATACCCACATTCATTTCTGGTTTAAGCAATGAATTTCAGTTTGTAATTACAAAGAAGGAATCGAAGAAATATCATTTAAGAAGCGGTACTGAAAACAAGGCATCAATATGGAAAATGTTTTGATGCTACTCAGCCCCGGTGTTGAGACGATCTAAGTTGTGTGATGTGTTTAAAGAATACAGAAGTGATGCTGGCCAAACTTTCTCAAAATAAGCAAGGCTGGATCTGGCCTGCAGGGCCTTCTAAAACACCCTTGCTGTCTCTCTAAGACTTTGGTGCACGTTTCTTCATGAATATTTCACACTTTCCCATCCCACCCTTAAATATTAATGCAGTATCTGGTGAGGCCTCATTGAGAAAGTGATGGAGGTCTTCTCTCGCACCGTGGGGTGAAAACGATGCTCAAGGCTAAAGCAGTCTACTGTTACGAGCACTGCTAAAGGATCCTTTAACTTGCTCTTTGCTTATTAGTGTTCAGCAGACCTTTTCAGCTTGAGAGGCAAGACAGTTTGTTTCATTCAATATGTAAAATGCTAATACGCATGATGTTATGGGTATAATGTTCTGCTTTATATGTGATGTTGATAAGAGTAAAATAGAAACATTTCGAATGCCCTGTATATAGCTCACTGCCGTGATTGGTTTTCAAAAATTTGTTCTGGTTCAAGCTTTTATCTGAACATTTTTGCAGAACATGTTTTAGGCATCAGGCAGCAAATTCATAAATTACATATTTCATGTAATACTTTTCTCTGAGGGAGCTTTTAGAAGCATTACATGAGTCAGATGTCTGGTTCCTATCACCAGGGAGAACAATTCTGACTTGGCAAACTTCTCTCGTACTGAGCATTTCACATCAGACCACTCTAAATGACCTTGTTTACATTTTAATGATTTATTATGCAGAAATAGGGAAAAATCTGTGGGTTTTCTTTTTTTGTTTTGGTCTGTGAAGCTCAGCCTTAGTGTAAAAAGACCTAAAGGCTTTGTCACCTCTTTTTGTGCACGTGGAAACTGTTCTAGATATGCTGAGTATGTACCTGCAAAATACATGTGTTTTAAAATAATGAGAAGAAAAAAAAACTAAAAATGTGACAATTTTGTCCCGATTTAAAGGTCTCAGCTCTAGTCATGGTGCACAAAAGAAAACAGACAGTAACAGTATTCAAAGAGCAAAAGTTAGTCTGGCAGTATGCGGTTGTTTGTCCAGCAATGCAGTAGCAAAGTTCACAGTACCAAGGCACTAAATTCCACCGCAGTTCTATAGGGAACACCTTATAGGAGCTATAGTGAGCTTTTGTCTTTCTACTGTCACACACCTACATACTAATCTCTCTTAGAGGGCCTTTCAACACTGACCAAACAACAGTATTTCAAAGTTGACAGGTGAGTTCAGAAGGACAAGAACTGATAAGCCAAATAAAGCAGCACAAATGGGGGGAAAACGCTGCAGACACAGGCTGGTCCCACCAACGTCCGCGTTCGCTGTTCGTTGGTGAATGTGTACTTAATTTACAAGGGGCTTAAGAATGTCGTATGTTGCATAGTTACCTGTCTTTAACAAAAGACGGGAAATGTCTGCGTGGAAACCAGAGAGAATAGCCGATGGCCAGCACCCACAGGATGGACAGCTCATCCAGCATCTGCCCCATGAAGCTGAGGGTCATGTGGAAATACAAGGAGAAGAGACCTGTTGTGGTGGAGAGAGAGAGAGAGAGAGAGAGAGAGAGAGAGAGAGAGAGAGAGAGAGAGAGATGTAGAGAAAATGTAGAGAGAAATGTAGAGGCCAATCACTGATACAGTACCAATAATAGCATAAGTTTTTAATATATATACATTAATATTAAGATAATAATTTTAGCATTATCTTCCATTAAACACTACAAAAATAGTATGTTGTCAAATAATAATGATATTAAATCGTAAATTGTCTAACATTTCCCATTTTGAGATGGTTGTGCACTTAAAGATTATCTAGCTTATTTCTAAACATTATTTACCTGTTTCAGGTCATTTCATTAAGTTAAATTCTCACTATACTGGCAGATCATTTTGCTGGTTCCAAGCACATTTCTTAAAACAAACAATTATCTGCCAATACAGTGAGATAATATTACTTAATAAAACTACTTAAAACAACGAAAGAAAAAGTCTAGAAATAGTTAAATGATCTTAAATAAGCTTACTGCAATGTCACCAGCAGAAATATGAGATTTATTGACTTAATTTAAGATAATTTTACTTGACAAGGCACCATTTTTTGCAGTGAAAGTTAAATTTTTTTCTCTTGTAATGTTACCATTTCAGAAATGTGAGGATTTGTTCCGACAACAACAATGTATATTTATACAGTCAGATGCAAATGTTTGGGCGCACATGTTTTGTTGATTTTCATGTTCAGTGTTTTGTTGGAGGGCAGGACTCAGTGGGTCACCTCACAGCAAGGAAGGCCTGGGTTCGATGCCCCTGCCAAGCAACCAGGGTTCTTTCTGTGTGGAGTTGGCATGTTCTTGTGCAGTCAGGTAAATTGGAGATGCTAAATGTCTACATGTCTGTGTGTCTGCCCGGTGATGGACTTCCACCCAATGAATGCGGAGATAGGAGGATAAGTGGCTTAGAAGGCGTGTGTGTGTGAAACTAAGTGAAATTCATTTAGTATCTTCTACAGAGAACACACCTCTGTACATTTTAAAGCATGATGAAAAGGCTTCTATTTTGCATTCTTTAATAATTTAAAACAAACATTTTTATTACTAATAAAATTATTGGCGTAACAACTTGAGTGAACAGTAGAGTCTTTTGCATGAATTTGAGAATTTCTCAGTTTTTGGCGGCGCGTCCATTTCTTTGAGTTGAACAAGGACAAAAGCGATTTCTCTTTATTAATAATTAGATTAATTATGAGCACAAGGCAGTACACGATGTTACTGTGTTGCTGTCTCAATACATTTTATTCATAACCCATTTTAAGCTTCCTGGTTACAATTACTTGGTTACATAAAAATGGAAAATTTTGATGGATTTCAAATTTGCTTTGTATTTTCAAATAATACCTTTAACTTTGCTTAAAGATATTTATGAGGAAATTAATTTACATTTTTATGGTTAATGTTTAGTTCCTGTTGTCGGCGTCAGCATCTGTACTGCGCTGAGTGGTCAGACCTCTCACTTTGAAGGCGTTTCATGGTCTTATTTGAAAAAAGAGAAGAAGAACAAAGCCTAACAGACTCCAGTTCATACGCTGAGTCAATGTCAAATACCATTTTATCATAATCTACAGTACAAAAAGAGAGAAAAAGGATTTCTGAAGCCAAAATTGAACTCTAAACCTAAAAATGTCTTTCCAAACCGCTGTGTGCCCGTTAGCACTTGGCAAACTGGTCTCAGATATCTTTCATACCTCGTCTATGACACATCAGCATTTTTGAAGTTAGCTGCTCCTTTAAAGCCTGCATGCATGGCGTCTGGCAGCGTGCCTAGCCGACACCTTCATGTTTAATAGATGAGAATACAGCTTAAAGTCACTTCAGGCCTCGGCTCCCAGCCTGAGAGTCAGGGTGGGTGAGAATGACTGATGAAGGGGTCTCAGGTGTGAGAAGTGCAGGTGATAAAACTGCTCCTGTGCAGGTGAGCACAGGGGGGCACTCACCCACAAAGATCATCATGAACCAGACCAGGTGGACCGCCAGGCTCCGCTCCTTGGCGTACGGGTGCAGCAGGTACAGCATTATGGGTGCAACTACGAAGAAGATGAAACTGCTCATCTGAAAGGAAGGAAGGAAGAACGTGTCACTGAGAGACAGTGGAAGTTTGGGTGCCTCTGGCCTAAATGACACGTTTTGTTGATTTGCTTAGTGAAAATAAGTGAACACATCCCCACAGAGAACATATTTTAATGCACAATTGCTGTTTATTTGCTGAAATTACACATAATGGAAAAAACCTAAACATAAAATATGGCCTGTGCGAAAGTTATGGCACCTTTATAAAAGTTATGGCACATTATATTTTACGTTTTTTTCAACAGAATAAATAGAAACTGTGCACGTTTGCAGGATAATGACATATTTAAGAGTGTTCCCTGTAGAGGATGTGTTAACTTATTTTCACTTAGACAATCAACACGTGTAATATGAGTGGAGGTGCTCAGGTTTATCAATTATCAACGTGTTATTGGTTGATGTCATCAGCCAGCAGACATAACGGTCAGTCCTGGTCAGCACTGACGGATAAAGCTATGCTCATCCTACCGTGTTGAAGTACTCCACAACATTCTCCGAGTGTTTATAGTTGTCTTCACACCAGTCCACCTCAGAACTCTCATAAGAAAAAACACCTGCCATCTTCTCAAATGATGGGATACCTGAGAGAAAGAGGGAAAGACAGGTGAGAGAGAGAGAGGGGGGGGATGAGTGGTGGAGAAAAAAAGGGGGAGAAAAATGACAGACAAGGGAAGAGAAACAATGAATTAAAGAAGAAGGAGAGATGGAGGGGAACAGGAACAGAGAGAGGGTGGAAAAGAGAGTGAGAGAAATAAAGACAAAAAAGAAAAAGGGAAGAGAATGGAAGAGAAAAGTAGAAAGAGAAAGAAGTATGAAAGATTGCCAGAGGGAATCAGAGACAGAAACAGCAGGCAGAGAGAGAGAGAGAGAGAGAGAGAGGAAAAGTGATAGGGGGTAGAAAAAGAGGGTGAAGAGAGAGAAATTAACAGAAAGTGACAAAGTTAGAGACGATAAATGAAAAAAGACGGAGGGAAAGATTGCAAAAGGGAATTAGACAGAAATAGCAGAGATACAGTTTTGTATCAAGTCAGATGCAAATGCAGATACTGAAATGAAAAGTAAGAGTTTAACACTGAAAATAATCACTTCCACCAGGCTTAAAGGGGAACTCCACCATTTTTTCAAAATTTCTCCACAATTAACTGGTTAAATTATAAACCGAGGCATTCAAAAAGGTTTGGTGTGAAACGCTCTGTAGTAGAAAAACACACACAGTTAGAGATTTTGTTTTGTAATAGCTTTGAAATATAATTTGGAAATTCCATTCAGGTACATGCAGGGCATTGTGAAGCAAAAAAAAAAAAAAGATTTTTGTGATATCACAATTTTACCATCAACATTACGTGTAAACGTTTATAAGAGACGAGTAGGTTCACTGGACAATTTGGATAGTAATTAAAATGTCTATTTTTGTGTTGCAATGTCTACAACATCTGGTCCCCATCACCACCACTGTAAAGAAAGGTGATTTGCTAAGTTTCTTTACAGTGGATCATGCCTCATAAACCACTCTAAATGACTTTGTTTACATCTCACCCACTGAATTGTGTAGAATCTTTTTAAAAATTTAGTGGAATTTCCCTTTAAGCCATCACAGATCTTCACGTATAGTTTGTGAGCACCTGCCTACAGTAACCTGGTACCTATTCAATCCCTCACTCATTAATAATAAGGAAAGTGATCCAGAGCCTTAATCAGCAATTAACTGTTCTGACCTCAAAGCCTTGTTTGGTAGACGGTGAGAGTAAACTGAGCTAGGCTAGGTGCAGTAATGCAAAGGTTTCATTCAGCTCTCCACTTACCTTTCAGAAACGACTCCATGGTGACTGTGAACTCAGTGCTGCAGGTGCGGACGTTTTATCGGTTTAAGTAGAAGAAATGTCCCCAAGCCTGTAGCGCCAGTCCAGCCGTGACATCAGCCGGTGGAGCAGGTAGGCATCGTAGGTGTTGCGAGTCAGAGGAGGTGGGGGTGGTAACTAACTCCATTCACTCACTTTCGACACAGTTTGGATGGATGTGAACTCGTATTTTCACAAGCTAATGACTAAAAAGTTCAACTTTAACTTCTGTTTTACTGTGAAGACTTGATTCTAGGTTGCTCTACCCACCTCTGCTTGTGTTTTTTAAACCACCCCAGCCTTCTGTTTGCATGTCCTCAGCAAGACGAGACTCCACAGCTCACCTGTCAGTGATACAGCTCACCTGGACGTTCACAGCAGGTGCGTTACTGCATTGAACCCCCTGACCAATCACATTTCTCTACAACAACGCTGTCCCAGCCAATCAGTTCCAACAGGTCTTTAGCTGATCCTTTCTCTCAGGCCAGTCTGAATTCTTAATGTCTCTCTGCTCCCTGTGTGCACTACATAAGACATGAAACAATAGCTGGCCACTATATTAGAAACACCTACTTGGTACTTCCATTCACTGGCCACTTTATTAGAAACACTTACCCTGTATGTCCACTCACTGGCCACTTGATTAGAAGCACCTACTGTGTACTTCTACTCCCTGTGTGCACTACATAAGACATGAAATTATATCTGGTCATTTTATTAGAAATACCTCCCTTTTACTTCCACTCACTGGCCTCTTTATTAGAAACACCCTAAATGTCCACTCACTCTACACTTTATTAGAAACACCTACTGTGTACTTCCACTCACTGGCCACTTTATTAGAAACACTTACTGTGTACTTCCATTCACTGGCCACTTTATTAGAAACATCTACCTATTAGCCCCCCTTGGCCCCATTCATCATTGGTCACATTCGAAAAATATGCCAAGAGCAGCCCTGTGGTCAGAAACTGACTATTGATAAAGGGCTAGAAATTAATTAACAGAAATTTTGCACAAACTTTGCCATGTGGAGCTACAAAGGAGGGGTTTCTGACAAAATTCGGTCTGTAGCTTCTGTACATGTGACAGTAGTATTGTAGCATCTAGGCGAAGAAGAACCAGAGGGACACACTGCTCATGTGGGCAAACGCTGTTTTACTGAACAGAGGGAAAGGAAAGGAGAACCACTGCCCAGCACTACTGAATACAGGCAGGTCCCTTCTAGCCATACAATGTCCCTTTAGGTGGTTCACATAGACCTGCACTAACTACTCAACAGTCCAACTCAACAGAGCACAATAAACACTATTAAAACACAATATACACATTTCAAATTAACAACAGCAACGTGAACATTAAAAGACTCTCCTTACCGGGAGCGCGGTGCCTCCTGAGAGCCCATTCACACCACCATTTTGCATGGCCACACCTCAGTGGCTGGACGTGTTAATAAACTGAATGCATGGGGATTGTGTGCTGCTTTGTTCCAGATCCCAATAACTCGGATTCTTTTACACAGAATTCAGCCTCCTCTGGAGCATTAAAGCATAGTTTCACATTTTTTTATAATTTGTGCATAATACAGTGGTTGAGATGTAAACAAAGTCATTCAGAGTGGTTTGATGTGAAATGGCTCATTGCAGAGAAACTTACAGACTCAGATGTCTTTACAGTGGTGGTGATAGGAACCAGGGGTCGCAAAGCCTACAACACAAACGTAGCCATTTTATTTACCATCCAAAAACGGCAGTGAACCTACACATGCTGTGAGTTGTTATATGTAATGTTGATAATGGCAATATAGTAGTACACCTGGAAAAGATATGTTGTCTTTAGGGAGTGTTTTGCCTATTTCTGTGAGGGAGCTTCTAGAGGTGGACGTCTGGTTCCTATCACCACCGCTGTGAACAGTTCTGACCGAAAGTTTCTCTGGAACAGAGCATTTCACACCAAACCACTCTGAACGACTCCGTTTACACCTTAACCACTTAATTATTCAGAAATTTTGAAAGATCACTGGAATTCTCTTTTGAGACACCTTTGAATGGAGGTTTGGTCCTGTGTTTGGAATAAAAACCCATTCTTCTCTGAGCTCTTTGCCTACACCAGGAAAATTCATGCCCATTACACCTATAATGCAAATAAGCAGGTAAAACATTCAATCTCTAAGTGGTCTTTCTCACGCAGAGGGTTTTTGGCCATTTGCATTGTCGTGCATGTGTAAATGAATCTCTTTCTTTCTCTTTCTCTCTCTTTTTCCTGTTGGAGGATGCAGTTTCAGTTAGAGGTATTACACCTGCTGGACCTGTCCACCCTGTAGGGCTAAACGGTGGCAGGGATGCGTGCTAGAAACTCACCTTAAGGCTATAAGCAAGCCATTTCTTACTTTGGGCTGACAATGCATGGGGTGTATTTATGTGCCAGACAATCATCAGCTGGAAATACAAGATCATGACAAATGCTCCAGTCATTTTCAGTCCACATTTTTCTTAATAAAGTTAACAAAGCGCTGTCAGCTGCTTGACAGAGCCGATTCATAGTGTCGCTTGTTGTAGGTGATTCATTTTGGCTTTGATATAAACACAATATTGTCATTTGCTTGTTTACTTGCTGTTGCTGTAGTTAATGGTTTCTTCTGAAATGAAGGTTTTGATAAATGCGTTTGTCCCCCTTTGCTGCAGTAACAGCCTCATTCTTCTGGGAAGGCTTCCCACTAGATGTTGGAACATTGCTGTGAGGATTTGATTGAGCATTAGTGAGGTCAGGTACCGATGCTGAATGATCAGTTCTGGATCACAAACTCAGCCCAGAGGTACTGGATGGAGCTCCATCACTCCAGAGAACACAGTTCCACTGCTCCACAGCCCAGTGCTTGGGGGGCTTTATACCCCTTTAGCTGATGCTCGGCATTGGGCATGGTGACCTTAAGCTCATGCGGCCACCGATTTGTCAAAATTGTACATCCTATCACCACCACTGTAAAGAAATCTGAGTCTCTACATTTCACATTTCACATCAAACCACTCTGAAAGGCTTCACTTCTAAACCAGTGAATTATGTAGATGGGTATAAAACTTGTATATGTGTATATGCACCACCTGCATAGCCAATAGTTTTGCCACAGGCTTTTCAAAAGGCAAATTAATGCTTGTTAATGCAGGAAACAGCCTGAAAGCCTGAGGCCTAGTGATCAGGTCAGAGATACAGTGGCGAATGTGTTTGCCTGCAGCTATTTTGTGGCCTACAACTCGCTAAAATAACTTGATCTACATTGTGACTCTGTATTAATGACTTAAATTGGACTTTTAAATTGACAATGAAGTTGAAAATCAATTAGTCAAGCTTGTTTGGGGGAGAAAATCACTTTTATTCACATATTTACTCAAAACTACACCATGATCTTTACCATGAATGGCCTGTAACAGATCCTTCCTTAAAGCGTGTAGCAGTCAAACACGAGACGTTTGCAGTTATAATCCTATAAAAAATGTTAGTACTTTGATATTAGTACCATAAGCGTGAAGTGAACTCGATTTTCAGTTTGGAGATTGCACACAAAGACAGAGCACCAATACACAAAGCAAAAGCTACATTAGATCAAAACTCTATTATATATGCGCCTTTAAACATAATCACATAACTTAAAAAGTGAGATAAAACTAGATGACCCGTTCACTCATGACTGTGCTACTGCTTTGGTTTTACTGGGCAAAAGTCAGTGAAATCGAATGACAATAGCGCCATCATGTGGTTGTTCTGCAGTAGTGCAGGATATGTGCATAGTTTTGGCACCGTCTGCTAGACTGTGCCACTGACGTAGACAAACACTGGATTTATTCCATTTAATTCTTAAGAAAGAGAAAACAATACAAGAAATCATGTTATGCCCATCCCCCGAGTTTAAATAACACTGCTAATGGTGAAAATGCTTCATAGCCAAGGACCTGAGATTTTCTTTGTCCAGAAAATGATCACACATCACAATTTTACCATCAATGTTTCTTTCCTTTTGATTTTATATTGACTCTCTGACTCTGACCGATACATCGACCCATCTGCCTCATCATCACCGACCGCCTGTGTGTTCTGAGAGGCTCAGAGGCTGAACGGTCAGCAATCAGAGGTCACAGACAGAGTACCGTTGAGTTCTAGCCGGACGAGGAAGAGACGGTTTCTCAGATTTTCTCCACGTAATTCCCTGGGAATAAGCCCTCTTTCCCACGTAGCCTGCCCGTCCACCAGCCAGACGGATCTACAGGAAAACAAACAAACAATTAGCTACACAAAGGAGAAGGAAGGAAGGAAATATGTATGCAGGAGAAAGAAGAAAGAAGGAAGTGAGTGGGGAAAAGTGGCATTACGTATTGCTGTACCTCTATTATAGATGTTTCTTTTTGTCGTGGTTGTTTTTTAATATCACTCACCTCACATGTCACAGAGAGGAAAAACACTGTCCACAACATGGACAATGAGCACAATTCGTGCAGGTATATATACGCCTATATAAATACACACACCTAGGCTTACAATTTGATTTTCTTTTCCATTAATCCATTAATTTTGATCTAAAAAATTGACCACTCATCTGAGTGTCTGTATGAATTTATGTCAAAAACAAACAATATTTTTTCAAACAAATAGTTTTCAATTAGGGCTTTAAGTGTAATTTAGAGTTGGGAAAATGTACATTGTTATATAATTCTAATCGTAATATAGATCATTATATAATTCTAATTACTATGCTTTTCTCGTTCAGAGTTAATTAGTGATCTGTCCTCATTAAAAGCTAATCAGCTGTGGTGTGATGAGGGAGGGCGGAGTCTAAATAGCCAAATTTGGAAGAAGGCCAATATTTCTGACTGGAGGAACTCTATTTAGATTATTTTATAGTTTTAATGACTTTATTATTATAAATTTAAAAAAGTAAGTGTGTGTGGGGGGGCACAGGCACAGATATAAGGTAACTGTTTCTAATAAAGTGGCCAGTTAATGGAAGTACAAGGTGGGTGTTTCTAATAAAGTGGCCAGTGTGTGGAAGCACAAGGTAGGTGTAGGGAGGGCAGGGTCTAAATAGCCAAACTGGAGTAACTCTATTTGCATTATTTTGTAGTTTTAATGACTTTATTTGTGTTCGTGTGTGTGTGTGTGTGTCTATGTGAGCTGATTCCCCACTTTTTTCTTGGGACTGCATCACTGTTGACAGTCAGGCACAGATCCAATCTCTAGCATAAGTCTTAATCCAGAGTAACTGCTTAATTTAGTTGTATCTGAAAATGAGTCTGAAGGTCCATGTAAAAATGGAGCTGCATTTAGACCAGTTCTTGTGTAGCTAATCCATATCTCACCTTCTTTAACCAGATCGATAACTTCATTGGCCTCGAAGCTGAGCTCATCCACATCCTGACCTGCGTATTGATAAAGTGCCCGGCAGCGAGGGCCATGGGAGCGGGGCTGTACTTTGGGCCGGCTGCTGGGGGCCGGCGGAGGACGCTGGCTGATACTCCTCTTCCTTTGCATTCTGAGAAAGAGAAATAATAAACAGTGTAAACAGCAGAAAAGATACAAGGAAGGTGTTTCTAATAAAGTGGCCAGTGAGTGGAAGCACAAGGAAGGTGTTTCTAATAAAGTGACCAGTAAGCAGAAGCACAAGGTAGGTGTTTCTAATAAAGTGGCCAATGAGTGGAAGTACAAGGTAGGTGTTTCCAATAAAGTGGCCAGTGAGTGGAGGTACAAGGTAGGTGTTTCTAATAAAGTGGCCAGTGAGTGGAGGTA